TGTATAATTGTACAGTAAGGAAGTTATTTCCCTTAACCAGGAAATTAACGTTCTTAGAATTGACAAGACAGTTGACCCTGAGAGGTCAGCTAAATATCTACAGCTGATCTAAATATTCATAATTAATTATAACTAGTTATGATTAATTATTCATATTTCCTCATGAGCTGATTCATTACAGATGTTAACGGATTAAAGCGTTCACTGCACACGGTTGCAGTCTGGCAGTGCGTTCAGGAGCGGCACGTTTGCAGCAGTGCAGAGATCGTTTACGCACCGAGTCTATTTTTGCTGCGCTGCAAGCACTGAGTTAAAGTAACAGTGCATTATTTGCAGTAAATATGAGCATGGATTGACACGAAAATTTAGTAATTACTCCATAAATGCATATTATTAAAGTCTACCGTGACTACTGTTTCACAGTCAACACATATGGCTTTTTGGTTAGGTTTAAAGGGAAAGAGCACTTTTAGATAAACAAGGCAATAATAGATGGCACTCGTGGAGGAAGGAAAACAAAGTTCTTTATGAACTGCAGGATTGCTTGTAATAAAAATTTTAATAAAAAAGCTGACTTTGTCAATGGTAAGTTTGTGATAACGTAAGAAAAGTAGTTTAAATGTTTTGCCAATTGCTTGAGCAACTTAATGTATAAATCTAAAAGTAAATACAAAAGTAAACCGCATTGAATAATATGTTGCTTATATTTATTGTTTAAACGTCTGTGAAAAACTGTATTACTGTTCTGTGTAAAAAAAAGAATTGCAATGCTGAAAAAGCATTTTCAGTGACAATGTTTTGGATTTGAAATCAAAATAATGGATAAATGTTGTGTTTGTGGTAAACAGCCACGGATCAGTAGTGGACTCCTGTGTGAAAGCAGTCTGTGCTGCTTCTCCTCTCACAAGAGACACCTAAGAGGAGAATTCCCCCCATTTTCAAAAATTAAATTCAGGCCCTGAATAAATATCTAAAAATCCTGATTGAAGTATCACTATAAATAGTTATAAATTATAAAAAGAAGGCTTTAAAAAGATCGGTATCGGTGATCGGTATCGGCAGATACTGCTTTCTGTGATCGGTGATCGGCCTCAAAAATCCTGATCGGAGCACCCCTAGAAAGTATCGATACTTATGGATCGATCCACCCATCCCTAGCTTTCATAGTCTTCAGTTTGCACGTTGTTTGGAGAACAGCTTTGGACGTGATGTGCACATTTTCTTATTTTTTAAGAAAATACTGAAAATAAAATGTTTAAACATTTGACTAATCAATAATTTGAAGACAATCAACAGATTAATCAGTCAAAATCAAAATAATCCATACTTGCAGTTTTAAAATCTATACCGCAAACTCATAGCTGATGTAGAAAGAACTCTTGAGTAATTACCAAAAAATATATATTTGTTTATATTTTGATCGTTAAATTTAATTTAACTGAAAATAAAGAACAAATATCAGCTTTAGATATGAGCTAAAACAGGCATATTGAGAAAAAAGGAAACTGTAACAAAGTAAAGAGTAGAAAGTATTCATGGGGATGTAGTAAGGGTTTTACACAATTTTTGTTTGCATCTGTATATATATATAAAAAAAAAAGTTCCACACGTGGAACAAAATTAGCATTTTTGACTCATTTGTGTATGCTTGTGACTGATTTTCAATTGATACGAACTTTTGCAAAGCTGAAATAGTCCCTCACTTAATGTACTTTCATGATCAATCATTGCTGTCGCTTCTGAGTGCTTGTGCCCATCCTTGTTAGAAAGCGACCATTTACCATAGCCCATGTTTTAAAAGCCAGTAAAGTGATTTTTTTTCTTCTGTGTTTAGTTCGGTGTACATTTAAATATTGATCTATAAATGTTTGTTTTGTTTTACTCTTCCCTCATGGCAGACTTGTTCTGCGAAACCAGTGGCTCACTCAGATGTGGTATCAAGTGGCTTTTCTGCAAAATATCACAGCTTTGGGATTTATAGGGAGCTTATCTGAAGTCATGCGGGCTTACCTGCATCTAATTTAAAGGATTTGTCCTGGTTTAAGAGTGCCAACATCTAAAGTTGACAGTGGAAACATACAGATCCTACAATGAATCAAAGGCATCAAAGTAGCTGACAAAGTGACCTGTTTACAATGCAAACAAAGCATTTTTTTTTTTTTTACTGCATATAAAGATGCAGGTCAGCAGAAACTGCAGCAGCTCACTATTGCACTCTGCTCACCTCAAGATGTAACCAAGATTAGTTGCTAGAAGGTCATGAAACTGAAAGTTATTTTGTCTAAGCTTCAGGTAAACTCAGTTACACATTCAGTGGTAGTGGAGGTCAGTTAATGTTTGACAGATTGCTTGGTCTTAAAAGAATAGTTTACCCAAAAATGAAAATTTGCTGGAAGTGTACTTACACCCAGACCATCCAAGATATAGATGAGTTTTTCTTCATCAAAGCAGATTTGGAGAAATTATCATTACATCACTTGCTCACCAGTGGATCCTCTGCAGTGAATGGGGCCTTTCGCACCGCTTTAGTTCCAGAACTAAATGTACAGTACTAAAGTACTGGGACGATTTTGCGCAAACTATTTCCCAGTACCATTTAAATGGTTGCATTCTCACTGACAGTGTGTACTAGGAAGTGACGTAAACCGGTCGACAGCGACGTCATTTGTGCGCGGTGTTCAACAACGGAAACAAAGAAGAACAACGTTAACAACAGGAGGATGGAGGACGCTGTGATCGGAGCTGTGTGTTTGTTGTGTCTCGCGAGTTTCACAATAATGGACATGGAATGTCGACGTATACGTAAAGCAATTGAAAGAACGGAAAGGAGAACTAAGAATCTTCAACGACAACTGGCAGTGCTACATTTGCTACAAGTGCCTGCACTTCAGCGTCCGTCCATCTATCTCTGTTCTCCATACTTGCGAAATAAGTTGACCCAATGTTTACAGTATGTTTACACAGCGTTTTAAATCATGGCGGGGGAGGGGATTTTCATACTCGTTTGGCCAATCAATGTCTACTTGCGTCACGATTAGTACCAGTTGTGCTGGTTAGACCCTGCTCCAGAGTAGGAGCTAATTTGGTTCTCGAAAAAGGCAGTCCGGTACTAAAATCACACACAGTTCCGGCGGTGCGAAAACGCCAAAAAGTGGGTATTTCCACAATTAGTTCTGGTACTATGAAAAGGTTCCCATGGTGCGAAAGGCCCTAATGGGTGCCGTCAGAATGAGAGTCCAAACAGTTGATAAAAACATAAAAATAATCCACAATTCTCCAGTCCATTAATTAATGTCTGGTGAAGTGAAAAGCTGCGCATTTCTAAGAAACAAATGAATTGTTAAAGCAGTTTAACATAAAACTGTCACTTCTGGCCAAAATACCCATAATCTATAGTCCATAATCCATAAATTCATCCCCTGTTGTCCTCTCGTATCAAAATCCACCATCATATTTGTTAATAAATGTTTCCGGCTGTTTTGGCTTGTAAATTGTGCTTAATCGGTGCAGATTTCTTTCCTGATCCACAACTTTTTCACTGGAGAAAGCGATATTTTGGATTATGGACTTGTATTTTAGCTGGAAACAGTGGTTTGAAGTTAAAAATGTCTTAAACTTGTTTCTTAAAAACATGCATCTTTTCACGTCACAATCTGTTAATTGATGGACTGGAGAGGTGTGGATTATTGTAATGTTTTTATCAGCTGTTTGGACTCTGATTCTGGCAGCACCCATTCACTGCAGAGGATCATTGGTGAGCAAGTGATGTAATTCTACATTTCTCCAAATATGTTCTGAAGAAGAAACAAACTCCTCTACATCTTGAATGGTCTGAGGGTGCGAAAATTTCTTATTTTTTGGTGAACTGTTCCTTTAATGTGAGGACTTTTGATGCACTTGCGGTCTGTCAGTGTCTTAACATGAGAGTCTTCATGTACACGTTCAAGATAGCTTTATTATTATTATTAGAGATGAGCTGGACTCTTTGTCCATAAAGGTCTTCTGACCTGTGGGAGGCCTGAGCTTTGAAGAGCACTCCCAAAGATTATTCCCTGCGGCATTAACCTTTCTGCAGCTCTGATCTGGGCTTGGACTAGGCACACGCACGCAGAGCTCTTCAACTGCACACACACTTTTGAATTTCACAATACAGGACAGAGGAACACATACTTATGCAAAGATAGCATCTCGCATAATTTAATATTTCTTCAAAAGCAATTTTAATGGGTTTAGTTTTAGTTATTAATTACAGCACTGGCCTAAATTCACTTGTAGCATTTAAAATAATTGATTGCATTTAATATTGTTTTATCTTTGAATAATTTAGACAAAATTGTATGCAATTATAGTTTCATTGTATTATGGGTTGTAGGCCGTAACATAAAAATAATTATTGACTTATCAATATCTTATCAGGATCCAGCTTCCCATATGTGACCCTGGACCACAAAACCAGTCATTTTGTCAAATGTATTATATGAAAGCTGAATAAATAAGCTTTTCATTGATGTATAGTTTGTTAGGATAGGACAATATTTGGCCGAGATACAACTATTTGAAAATCTGGAATCTGAGGGTGCAAAAAAATCTAAATATTGAGAAAATCCTCTTTAAAGTAATTCCAAATGAAGTTCTTAGCAATGCATATTACCAATCAAAAATTAAGTATTAATATATTTACAGTAGGAAATTTACAAAATATCTTCATGGAACATGATCTTTACTTAATATCCTAATGAATTTTGGCATAAAAGAAAAATCTATAATTTTGACCCATACAATGTATTTTTGGCTATTGCTACAAATATACCCCAGCGACTTAAGACTGGTTTTGTGCTCCAGGGTCACATATATGGGCTGCTCTGGGATCCCTCAAAATGATTAGCAGGCAAAACAAGCCTCAGAGTCTTCTGATTGGTTAACAAATCTGACCATATCTCATTTATACATGAGTATCATTGCGTAAAATCTCTTGCATCATTTTGCATATGAAAGTTCAGTGTTCAGTTGCGATGATTCTGCCGGCTTGTGTTATAGGTGAGCTCTGTAATTTGATTACGCTGGATGTAGCCCACAACCAACTGGAGCACCTTCCTAAAGAGATCGGCAATTGCACTCAGATCACCAACCTTGACCTGCAGCACAACGAACTTCTTGACCTACCTGAGACTATAGGTGAGGATCTACTCAAGGTGGAATCTTTATTGTTGGAAGCAAAACATTTTACTATACAGCTCTGCTTTTGGCCATTTGGTGAGAGTTCAGTTGTACTTTATAATTATGTATCAGATCTCATCAGTGGAGAAAGTATGCTTAGATGTCCATGTGAATTAGATTAAATCAACAGTTTACACATTTGAATCATAAACTATGTTCATTTACTGTTTCAGGTAACTTATCAAGTATAAACCGTCTGGGTCTGAGGTACAACCGTCTATCAGCGATCCCTCGATCTTTATCAAAGTGCCGAGAGCTGGAGGAACTCAACCTTGAAAATAACAACATCTCAGTGTTACCAGAAGTGAGCCTTGGTTCAGCTCATTACCGCTTTTAATAATTAGCAGTTTTATATAATATATCCTTGTCCCCTTTTATAAAGTATTATATTGATCCCTATCTGTTTTTTCTCAGGGTCTTCTCTCCAGTCTGGTGAACCTGACGAATCTGACGCTGGCGCGAAACTGTTTCCAGTCTTACCCAGCGGGTGGCCCATCCCAGTTCTCCACCATCTACTCACTCAACATGGAGCACAACCGTATCAACAAGATCCCTTTTGGCATCTTCTCCCGAGCCAAAGTGCTCAGCAAGCTCAATATGAAGGTGAGCGCATCTACTCGATCACTGTTGAAGATATGTAGGTAACAAACTTGCCCTGAAGGAGACGCATAACTAGAGACCAGAATATGGTAGAGGGTTGATCTGGACCAATAAGCTGCACCCTAGCATCATTGTGGTTAGTTTACATGACCAAGCAAAAGAATTGTAAACCATACCATCCTTTTTTGAAACCATGATTATAGGACAACCAGTTAACGTCTCTTCCGCTGGATTTTGGGACGTGGACCAGTATGGTAGAGCTGAACCTGGCAACAAACCAGCTTACCAAGGTTCCAGAGGATATCTGTGGACTTGTGTCTTTAGAGGTGACATGCTCTTCTGTATTTTACCATCACTCAGTTTCATGATAGCAACCCCATTTTTGTCATGTGGTTGGGTCTATATTTTGGCTCATCATTTTTCCTTTGGTTCCTTCAGGTCCTCATATTGTCCAACAATCTTTTGAAGAAGTTGCCTCATGGAATAGGAAACTTACGGAAACTGCGAGAGCTTGACCTGGAGGAGAACAAACTGGAGTCCCTCCCGAATGAGATTGCCTACCTTAAGGATCTGCAGGTAGGACAATTGTCTACATGGTCAGCTTTTTTTTTAAGGCAGTGCAGTTGTTTCCATTGGAGTCTTTTGTTAGCTTATGTTGCTAAGCTAACAAAAAGTGATAGACACAAACAAAAAAGTGTTCTGCACACAAAAATGTATTGATACTTTGCAGTATTGTGCAGAGCTCCTAAATGGGATATGGGGATGGGGAAAAATTAGGTAGAAGAAGAAAAAATAATAATAATAATAATTCTTGCAAAAGTATTGCATTCCCCTGAGAAATGTTGTCTCTGCTCAAAAAAAGCATTGAAATATAGTTCTTCCTCCCACCTCGTACTATTTCCATCACAGAAATTTTGTGAGCAAATACAAACTTTCTTGGGGGAATGCAAACGTTTTGTGAGAAAACTCAGATGCAGAGTTTCTTGGGGGAACTTATACGTTTTGCAAGAGAATGCACAGAGCAAACAGTTTCTTAGGGCAACACAAATGTTTCATGTGAGAATGCTAAAGTTGAGCAAATGCAAACTTCTTTTTTTAAAGATTTATTTTTGTAATTTTGCCTTGATTAAGATAGACAAAGCGAAGTGGGGGAGAGAGAGGGGGGTGGGATCAGGAAAGGTCCTCAAGCTGGGATTCAAACCTGGGATGCCCGTTATATGTTGGCGCACTGCCCACTAGGCTGTCGGCGCTGACGAATGCAAACTTTCTTAGGGGAATGCAAAAGTTTTATTTGTGAATGCTAAAATTGTAAGAGTGAACGCAATGTTTCTTTGGGGAATGCAGAAGTTTTAAGTGAGAATGGAAAAGTTTTAAGATAGAACACAAAGTTTCTTGGGGAACGCAGAAATTTTATGTGAGAATGGAAAAGTTTAAGAGTGAACGCAAATTTTCTTGGGGGAAGGCAGAAGTTTTATGTGAGAACAAAAGTTTTAAGATCGAGCACAAAGTTTCTTGGGGGAACGCAGAAGTTTTATGAGAGAACAAAAGTTTTAAGATCGAGCACAAAGTTTCTTGGGGGAACGCAGAAGTTTTATGAGAGAACAAAAGTTTTAAGATCGAGCACAAAGTTTCTTGGGGGAACGCAGAAGTTTTATGAGAGAACAAAAGTTTTAAGATCGAGCACAAAGTTTCTTGGGGGAACGCAGAAGTTTTATGAGAGAACAAAAGTTTTAAGATCGAGCACAAAGTTTCTTGGGGGAACGCAGAAGTTTTATGAGAGAACAAAAGTTTTAAGATCGAGCACAAAGTTTCTTGGGGGAACGCAGAAGTTTTATGAGAGAACAAAAGTTTTAAGATCGAGCACAAAGTTTCTTGGGGGAACGCAGAAGTTTTATGAGAGAACAAAAGTTTTAAGATCGAGCACAAAGTTTCTTGGGGGAACGCAGAAGTTTTATGAGAGAACAAAAGTTTTAAGATCGAGCACAAAGTTTCTTGGGGGAACGCAGAAGTTTTATGAGAGAACAAAAGTTTTAAGATCGAGCACAAAGTTTCTTGGGGGAACGCAGAAGTTTTATGAGAGAACAAAAGTTTTAAGATCGAGCACAAAGTTTCTTGGGGGAACGCAGAAGTTTTATGAGAGAACAAAAGTTTTAAGATCGAGCACAAAGTTTCTTGGGGGAACGCAGAAGTTTTATGAGAGAACAAAAGTTTTAAGATCGAGCACAAAGTTTCTTGGGGGAACGCAGAAGTTTTATGAGAGAACAAAAGTTTTAAGATCGAGCACAAAGTTTCTTGGGGGAACGCAGAAGTTTTATGAGAGAACAAAAGTTTTAAGATCGAGCACAAAGTTTCTTGGGGGAACGCAGAAGTTTTATGAGAGAACAAAAGTTTTAAGATCGAGCACAAAGTTTCTTGGGGGAACGCAGAAGTTTTATGAGAGAACAAAAGTTTTAAGATCGAGCACAAAGTTTCTTGGGGGAACGCAGAAGTTTTATGAGAGAACAAAAGTTTTAAGATCGAGCACAAAGTTTCTTGGGGGAACGCAGAAGTTTTATGAGAGAACAAAAGTTTTAAGATCGAGCACAAAGTTTCTTGGGGGAACGCAGAAGTTTTATGAGAGAACAAAAGTTTTAAGATCGAGCACAAAGTTTCTTGGGGGAACGCAGAAGTTTTATGAGAGAACAAAAGTTTTAAGATCGAGCACAAAGTTTCTTGGGGGAACGCAGAAGTTTTATGAGAGAACAAAAGTTTTAAGATCGAGCACAAAGTTTCTTGGGGGAACGCAGAAGTTTTATGAGAGAACAAAAGTTTTAAGATCGAGCACAAAGTTTCTTGGGGGAACGCAGAAGTTTTATGAGAGAACAAAAGTTTTAAGATCGAGCACAAAGTTTCTTGGGGGAACGCAGAAGTTTTATGAGAGAACAAAAGTTTTAAGATCGAGCACAAAGTTTCTTGGGGGAACGCAGAAGTTTTATGAGAGAACAAAAGTTTTAAGATCGAGCACAAAGTTTCTTGGGGGAACGCAGAAGTTTTATGAGAGAACAAAAGTTTTAAGATCGAGCACAAAGTTTCTTGGGGGAACGCAGAAGTTTTATGAGAGAACAAAAGTTTTAAGATCGAGCACAAAGTTTCTTGGGGGAACGCAGAAGTTTTATGAGAGAACAAAAGTTTTAAGATCGAGCACAAAGTTTCTTGGGGGAACGCAGAAGTTTTATGAGAGAACAAAAGTTTTAAGATCGAGCACAAAGTTTCTTGGGGGAACGCAGAAGTTTTATGAGAGAACAAAAGTTTTAAGATCGAGCACAAAGTTTCTTGGGGGAACGCAGAAGTTTTATGAGAGAACAAAAGTTTTAAGATCGAGCACAAAGTTTCTTGGGGGAACGCAGAAGTTTTATGAGAGAACAAAAGTTTTAAGATCGAGCACAAAGTTTCTTGGGGGAACGCAGAAGTTTTATGAGAGAACAAAAGTTTTAAGATCGAGCACAAAGTTTCTTGGGGGAACGCAGAAGTTTTATGAGAGAACAAAAGTTTTAAGATCGAGCACAAAGTTTCTTGGGGGAACGCAGAAGTTTTATGAGAGAACAAAAGTTTTAAGATCGAGCACAAAGTTTCTTGGGGGAACGCAGAAGTTTTATGAGAGAACAAAAGTTTTAAGATCGAGCACAAAGTTTCTTGGGGGAACGCAGAAGTTTTATGAGAGAACAAAAGTTTTAAGATCGAGCACAAAGTTTCTTGGGGGAACGCAGAAGTTTTATGAGAGAACAAAAGTTTTAAGATCGAGCACAAAGTTTCTTGGGGGAACGCAGAAGTTTTATGAGAGAACAAAAGTTTTAAGATCGAGCACAAAGTTTCTTGGGGGAACGCAGAAGTTTTATGAGAGAACAAAAGTTTTAAGATCGAGCACAAAGTTTCTTGGGGGAACGCAGAAGTTTTATGAGAGAACAAAAGTTTTAAGATCGAGCACAAAGTTTCTTGGGGGAACGCAGAAGTTTTATGAGAGAACAAAAGTTTTAAGATCGAGCACAAAGTTTCTTGGGGGAACGCAGAAGTTTTATGAGAGAACAAAAGTTTTAAGATCGAGCACAAAGTTTCTTGGGGGAACGCAGAAGTTTTATGAGAGAACAAAAGTTTTAAGATCGAGCACAAAGTTTCTTGGGGGAACGCAGAAGTTTTATGAGAGAACAAAAGTTTTAAGATCGAGCACAAAGTTTCTTGGGGGAACGCAGAAGTTTTATGAGAGAACAAAAGTTTTAAGATCGAGCACAAAGTTTCTTGGGGGAACGCAGAAGTTTTATGAGAGAACAAAAGTTTTAAGATCGAGCACAAAGTTTCTTGGGGGAACGCAGAAGTTTTATGAGAGAACAAAAGTTTTAAGATCGAGCACAAAGTTTCTTGGGGGAACGCAGAAGTTTTATGAGAGAACAAAAGTTTTAAGATCGAGCACAAAGTTTCTTGGGGGAACGCAGAAGTTTTATGAGAGAACAAAAGTTTTAAGATCGAGCACAAAGTTTCTTGGGGGAACGCAGAAGTTTTATGAGAGAACAAAAGTTTTAAGATCGAGCACAAAGTTTCTTGGGGGAACGCAGAAGTTTTATGAGAGAACAAAAGTTTTAAGATCGAGCACAAAGTTTCTTGGGGGAACGCAGAAGTTTTATGAGAGAACAAAAGTTTTAAGATCGAGCACAAAGTTTCTTGGGGGAACGCAGAAGTTTTATGAGAGAACAAAAGTTTTAAGATCGAGCACAAAGTTTCTTGGGGGAACGCAGAAGTTTTATGAGAGAACAAAAGTTTTAAGATCGAGCACAAAGTTTCTTGGGGGAACGCAGAAGTTTTATGAGAGAACAAAAGTTTTAAGATCGAGCACAAAGTTTCTTGGGGGAACGCAGAAGTTTTATGAGAGAACAAAAGTTTTAAGATCGAGCACAAAGTTTCTTGGGGGAACGCAGAAGTTTTATGAGAGAACAAAAGTTTTAAGATCGAGCACAAAGTTTCTTGGGGGAACGCAGAAGTTTTATGAGAGAACAAAAGTTTTAAGATCGAGCACAAAGTTTCTTGGGGGAACGCAGAAGTTTTATGAGAGAACAAAAGTTTTAAGATCGAGCACAAAGTTTCTTGGGGGAACGCAGAAGTTTTATGAGAGAACAAAAGTTTTAAGATCGAGCACAAAGTTTCTTGGGGGAACGCAGAAGTTTTATGTGAGAACAGAAACGTTTTAAGATCGAACACAAAGTTTCATGGGGAAATGCTTCTATGCGTATTCATTCTCTACCAAAAGTATTGCTAGAGAATGCAAAAGCATTGAAATATAATTTCCCCTATTTCAATACAAATGTTTATAATACAGGATTATTTTGCTTGTTGCAGTGATTTCTGGGATTGCCCTATCTGTGGGGAAACTGAATAGATGCTTTTATAGTGTTTAGTGTGAAACTCATTTCTCAAATTTATTTGCAGAAACTTGTGTTGACCAATAATCAGCTGACCACTTTGCCAAGAGGAATCGGTCACCTGACCAACCTGACGTACCTGGGCTTGGGAGAGAACCTGCTGCAGCACCTACCTGAGGAGATCGGTATGAGCTCACCACTGCCCTCAAACGCACACGGCCACACCAATCCATACGCAACTCGCTTACAGCCTTTATCTCTCCCAACCCACAGGTACACTGGAGAACCTGGAGGACCTGTACCTGAATGACAACCCCAACCTGCACAGTCTGCCGTTCGAGCTGGCGCTCTGCAGTAAGCTATCCATCATGAGCATAGAGAACTGTCCCCTCAGTCACCTCCCGCCGCAGATCGTCGCCGGAGGCCCTTCCTTCATCATCCAGTTCCTCAAGATGCAGGGTCCCTACCGTGCCATGGTCTGAGATGGCTCACACACTGTACAAAGAGGAACCTGAATCGCCACACGACGTTAATTTCGTCGTCATTATATCTCGGACAAGAAGCGGCTTAACTGGGTTCCAATCGATGGAGGAATCATAGCCAGTTAGGTCCCCTTTACCCCCGTAGTAAACAATGTCTAGACTTCAGTTGCCAAAATTAATGTACATTAGTGATTCTGAAGAGGCGCTCTTAAAAGGTTTCAGTCATTTTGCCAATTTATTGAAAGTCATTATAAAGATTTTGACGCCAGGAAACAGTTGTATGCAAAAACAAAACATTTTTACAAGTTAATTTTTGCTGCTGCTGCCGCCGCCATACTGTATGCGAGATTTTTTTTTCTTATCATCCCACAACCAAAATAATTTTATTGTACAGAGGACCTGTTTGGAAGCAGTGAACAAATTTGTAGTTCTTTTTTTTATTATTATTATTATTATTATTATTAATCGTTGTTCTAGAATTGTGCCAATCCAGTGCAGTTGGGTGGTTTGTGTCTGAACATTATTATCCAAGAAGTTTTTAATACAAAAAGGCTGAATTTACAAAAGTATAATTTATTCCGTAATTCCTTTTCATTGTTGTTGATCATTTTATCGCTCCCGTTTTTAAATAGTCACTCCTCTTCGCTATCGGGACGTGTTGCTGCGCTTGACATTTTAAAATTAATCCGCAATCTTTTTTTCTGCGAAATAGTGAAGCAACAAATGAATCAAAAATAGTTTTTAATAGCAATCAGGTCATGGGTTTAGTGAGCTAGGTGCGGGTCTGGTTTCGTGGGTCTCTCTTCTGGACGTGGGGTTTGTGATTGTTTACTTGTTTGCCATATCCACAGTGTTGCGCTCTGCTTGTGTCCTATCGGTGAGAGTCGCATCTACATATCAGGTGCTAGCAGTTAAAGGCCCACGTTTACTGTGAGGAATGCCAAACACCCATTCAACATCACTTCCGTCCTTTTTTTTACTGTGCATTTCAAGGATTTCCTGGTCGGTGTCATCGGACCGGTTTTAAACCCCATGATTTTTGGTCTTAAATTCACAGAATATTAAACAATGGTTACAGTTTTTTGCACCGTTTGACCCACATACTTATGCTGCTGCTTTTAATGCACTTTGTATTGATATTTGGCATCCTCCTCAAGTAAAAGGGTCACGATATTTCATGTTACCGATTAAACGTATGGAAGGGGGCATTTATTATTATTATTATTATTATTATTATTTCTGAAGTATTTTATCTTTTATTTTAATTCTCTATCATGTATATTTTATAACAGTGAATGAAAAATTTGCCTCAGCAAATTCGAACGATAACATGCTATTAAGAATCTTTTTTTCAAGGCTTTGACGCTATTTCTCTTTATTAAATGTTTTGATTTAAACTTCTGACTTAGTTTGTGTTTCTATATGTTTAAAAATTCAAATGGTGCAGATCAAGTATTGCAATTAAAAACCCAAATGTTTCCATTATATGAATTGCGAACATTTTTTTTATTTCACCTTTTTAAAGAATATGTTACCGATTAAACGTATGGAAGGGGGCATTTATTATTATTATTATTATTATTTCTGAAGTATTTTATCTTTTATTTTAATTCTATCATGTATATTTTATAACAGTGAATGAAAAATTTGCCTCAGCAAATTCGAACGATAACATGCTATTAAGAATCTTTTTTTCAAGGCTTTGACGCTATTTCTCTTTATTAAATGTTTTGATTTAAACTTCTGACTTAGTTTGTGTTTCTATATGTTTAAAAATTCAAATGGTGCAGATCAAGTATTGCAATTAAAAACCCAAATGTTTCCATTATATGAATTGCGAACATTTTTTTTATTTCACCTTTTTAAAGAATGAAGCCGTTTCGCGCGAGATGGAATTTCTTTTGGTTTAGTGTTATATCGAGTGACTGTAAATTCCCACCTCCACTTTAGTTTATCAAGCCAAATGTATTTTGTTCGTGTTGTGTCCACACTGTTTCTTTTCTTTTTCATGTTTCCTCTCGCTTTGATTCGTTAGGACATTGTGTACATCGGCAGCAGTGTAAAGGCTTCGGAGAGGCACTTAGCATTCGTGGGGCCATGAAAAGGACACAAATCGCTGCTTTTTTTATCAACCAGCAGAACCCGTTGCTGCTTATGGACCTCCTAGAAACGTAATGTTGTAAAAGAACCGGCCCGCGTGAGACGTTACGGACTGGCTTCTCGGGCCGGTTCTACCAGCACAGACGTTCTGCTACAGATGAAATCCCTCTGGACCTGCTCGATGCATATGTTGCGCCTGACGCAGAAGCTGAATAAAAACAACAAAAAAATACAAACTGTAAAAAGGGCTTTCTCTGTTCATGCTTAACTATACACCAGTGGCATTGCATTCCTGGTTTTGTATAAAAGCTTAGAACTGTACATTTGAGTTTTCTTTTGTGTGTGTGTGTGTGTGTGTGTGTGTGTGCGCATGCGTGTGTGCGTGTGAGGGAATAGTTAGATGTTAACAAAATGGAATTATTATGTGACAATAAATGCCTTTGAGTACTTCAAGTGAGATGTGCATTAGGGATGTGGCTTTGTGACGCGTCCCATTTAAGTTAATTATTTTTATTATTTTCAGCATTTATGTGCCGTTTATGCAGGGGAGGGGGTCTGGTTTTTATTTAGGTTAACAGTATGATCGGTTTTGAATGAGAATGCATCACAAATCAGGAATGTAGTCAAAAAAGACAATAAAACAGAATTGTACTTTCAATGGTGAATACTGCGTGACAGCGTGGTTATAATCAGCCCGGGGTGGCCATTTTAATTTTGATCTTGTATTGTTCTGGTGAATCCTTATGATTGGAGCATAAGGGTATGGTTTATTTTTTATATTGTCTGTGCATTAGGTCATAGAAATTGTATAAATGAAGTTCATTTTCCATGTTTTTTTTGTTTTGTTTTTAACACAGGAATGTTATGTTTCCTGTTTTTTTTTTTCTTGCCTTGCTATGTATAGGAAACAAGCATGTTCATTTTCTCTTTTTTTCTTTATTTCTTCCTTTTTTTTAAGATTCATAATTGTCTGGTTGGGTGGACAGGGATGTAAAAAAGTACACAAGATAAAAATGTTGCTCTTTTGTAACTGCAAAATGTTTTTTTGTTTGTTTTGACACTTCATAGGGTATCAAGTGTTGTGCGGACATGTCTAACATACCCCTGGTGTGGTGACTCTTGATTTCTCTTTCTTTCTGACTCCGCCCGATCAAGTAACAGGACCCTCTTCCATCAGATCAAGTCTTTGCTTTGATAAGCATTCTTCAAATAAATGTTCATTTGACTGCCTTACGAATGTCAAACGTGCTCCTCTCTCACCCCTCGTACGTTTTCAAATGATCAGTTTAGAGTAATAATCAAATCAATAATACAGTGTATATATATATATATATATATATATATAACTCTTTATTTGCCTCTTTATCTTATCAGTAAAAAAATGTGAACACATCTGAAATCATGATCATAAAAAAAATTGTCTAAAAGCTTAAAATGAGTTTTGTAGAAATGTTGAATATGTAAATTAATTTAAATTGTAGACATTTTTAATTGAGTTTTAACAGGAGGAAAAGAAGCCCAAAAAAGTGTCCAGCATACACATGTGAACAACTTCGATATTTATTATGCACATCATGAAGTTGAGAATAGACAAAGTGTGGCTACTTTGAAGAAGCATGAATTTAAGAGTTTCACGTTTTTGTTTACTACATAATCCCCATCTATCATCTTGGCAGCTCTGGCCCTCGAGACCCAATTTCATGCAGAGTTTCACTCCATTCCTGATCAAACACCTCTTATGAAAATCAACCATGGATTTATTGTAGTAGTGTAGTAACCAAGGTATTTTTTTTTTTTGTGGCATATTGATTACAATTTATATAACCGCAGTTTTACTACAAATACCATAGTTAAACTATGGTTAATTTATAGTTACCATGGTTTAAATATATATATATATATATATTTTTTTTTTTTTGTAGTAGAACCATGGTTAATTTTCGTAAGGGACAACTGAACAAGCTACTCAGTGTCTTTAAGATTATATTTCAGATCTATGCAGGAAAGTGGATTTCGAGAGTATAAATACTCTCGTGTATAATATAACTCTCGTGTACCTCACATTCCCGGTAGATGTCGCTGTTTCCTCGCTCCTCGCTGCGGAGTCCTCTGCCGTGTCTAGCTTTCTCATTCTTAGCCTGCTACTTGGAAAACTATTTAGCAGTAATGTTTTCAGACATTACTAGGGTTCCCACGGTCACGGACAGCCGGGGAATGTGAGGGGATTGTAAAACGGTTGATTTGAGCCCTGGAGACTTCACGGAAATAAGAGCTCGTGAGTGCAAATCTTTTTAGTCGGTTTAGTCAGCTCGAAAACATTTAATCGACTACATATTCCTTACATGTGTTTGAAATTCGCCTCAGAGTACATAAAATGGCCTTCACTTATAACGTTGCAATGAACTACTGGTGTATTCAGTTATAGAAACAAGTCTAGTGTTAGTATGCTGTGTCTCAAGTCGATGATTGTTTATCAGATGTTTATTCTCTCTTGTTCAGGTAAACACTAAAACAAGTCGTTTCATTGGTTTAAACCATAAAAGTGTTTTAAGTGATTTTGGCGTTTCCACTGGGCCTCTCTTGGCGGCTGCTAAGCAACGTCAATCGGGGGGGGGGGGGGGGTGGGGAATAGGG